TGCGCCTCTGCTTGTTCCAAACGTGCTCCCGCTGTATCGCGGGCGCGTCTGGTCCCTTCAATAGTTTCCGCATCTAGAAAGTGACTTCCAGAAAACACCGTCGCAATTGATTACGCATCGGGCGTCGATTCGATGAGCTTCTGGGCCGGAGAAGGCCCCCAACTTCGGGGCGGCGTCGCTTGGAGGAAGCATCGAGCGGGAGCTTTCAGAAGGCGATGTTGCAAGCAGAGCCAGCGGGTGCTCTCCATCAGCCCCGCCCTGCGGGGAGCTTGTCGGGGAGCCCAGGGGGGTAAGCATGGAGGCGCGATTCCAGACCTGCCCAGACCCTTCGAAGACGATCCATTTACCCTCCAAGGAACCTGGCGCCCTGCCATGACATGTTGTGCGGTGTTTTGTTCTGCGTCGCTGTGCGATGCCACGTTCTGCGTTGCAAGATTTTGTGATGCAATGCTTCGCTCCGCAATGCCACGCCATGCTATGACATTATACGCTCTGCCGCGCCCTGCTACGCCAGGACATGCCGTGCTTTACGATGCATCGCGCACCCTCTCGCGTTCATTGCCCTGCTCGACATCCGACTGTGCGAATGCAGGGGCGATCTACGTGGTAAGGGATGGGAGGGAGGGGTAGGACGTTAGATATGACGCGAGCGCACCTAGCTTGCCCCCCGCCCCCCTGCCTGCCCTGCCCTGCCTTGCCTTGCCCTCCCCTCCCCTCCCCTCCCCTCCCCTCCCCTCCTCCTCCCTCCTCCTCCTCCTCCTCCTGCTCTTGCTCCTGTTCCGTTTTTTTTTTCTTCTCCTCCTCCTCCTCCTCATCCTCCTCCTCCTCGTCCTCCTCCTCCTCCTCCTCCTCCTCCTCCTCCTCATCATCATCATCCGTAGCCATTTTGGCTCAAGGCCAAATGGCTTCCATTCCACTGCCTCAGCGGGGTAGGCTCCCATCAGAGCTTCCAGTTCTTCTGCCGCCACAACCGGGGGCTAGCGGCCGCCCAAGTGTTCTTGCCATAGTACTCGCTACTGTGTGCGCCTCCATATTCATTCCGTCAGTTGAGTACCTCCTGACGACTTCGACGGCTTCCATATCGTGTCCCAGGTCGCTGGCGAGAAGCGGCCCACAATCTGCAGCGACTACAACGACACCGCGCTGCACAGCGTCCCGCCTGACCTCCCACAACGGCAGAGTATTTCGCAATGGCATCCAGCGAAAGTAGCGGCAGCAGTTCCTCCTCAGCTTCCAAGGATCGACGTCGACGGCCACGCAAAGAGCGAGTACGAGATCGCAGGGGCAAGGGCAGAGGAGACGGCAGCCACTCTCGTAGTGACAGAGGCCAACGAAGTGATAAACATAGATCTGAACGCCCTCCTTCTCAAGATCGGGATAGACGGCGAGCTGAACGTGAACGTGAAGCCCCCCGTGAACAGGAGAGCGGGCATACTCAACGAGCTCATCCCCCACGTACGGGCCGAGCAGGCACAGCCACAGCTACTACGCCTACGCGCAGGGCAACGCGCAGCGGAGGACCCTCGACCGCGACAGCAGCAAGGGCAGCCAGTTCAAGAACCGATCCGAGAGGCGAAGATGCACTACAAAAAGAGGACCCGTGGACGGGGTCTCAGCTTCCACCGGGACCAGCTTCCGGGGTCTCCCCCGCGCGTGCTGCAGAAGAGGCGGCTACAACATCCGGCACGCCTACTGCAACGCCTGCAGGAATGGCACCAGCGACTCCAATTGCGGGCGAGGCTACCCCACCTGGAGATGGATTCGTGCACGACGACAGCTCGCTGGAGCAGCGCCTCAGCCAGCTCTTCACCTCCCAGATCGAGTCCGCCACCGCCAGGCTCCAGAACGAATCCGAGACCATCATTCGCAACGCCCAGCAAGCCCTTCAAGGCGAACTTCAGCTCGTACTCGGACGCGTTCGACAGCATGGCGGCAGGATGGACGCCCTCGACACCTCAGTACGAGAACTCAACCAGCGTACACACAGTGGAGCAGGAACAACAACAAATGCGGCAAGACGTGGAACGGATTCAATCGCAATTGGCAATGGCGGAAGCCACTTTACCCGCCTTTGACATGGCAGCTCTGGCAGTCTGGGATCGACCTCCAGACCCCCATCTCTACACTATTGGAGCGCCATCGGCCATACAGCCCGCAGAGGTCAAGCGAGCGCTTGAACCCTGGATCAATGCAGCAGGCGTCTCCACCAACGATGTCGAGCTCATCGGCGACGTTCCTGCACGGCGTTTCTTCCTCAGAGTCCTTGGTGGACCAGCAGCCACCTCACGCAGTCTTTCACTCGCACGGAATCTCAGAGCAGGAGGTCAGTGGCGTAATTTCTCGGCTCCAAACACTTCTGGCGCGCTCACCCCCCTTTACATCAACGCGGACAAGTCTCCTAAAACACTTCGGCGAGAGCTACAAGCGAAGAGATTGGTCAGGCTCCTGGCGGACAAGTACGGCCATCACCACTTCAGAAGAGTCGGAGACGAAGGTATTG